GGGGGGGGGGGCACAACAGCGGCAATTAAAGTTTAAAAGTGTCAACAAATGCTACTACTACTGTCACAAACTGGATGAATGTGAAGTATTTTGTTAAAGGAGGATGAAAGCGTAATTAAGGAGCACTATTGGAGTGACTTTGATGGTTATCGGATTTAGGATTAATTCATTTGGANAGAAAAGCCCGGTTTGGACACTTTACGGGCAGAAGAAACATTTCCTATTGAAGAAAGAATTATAAATGTCTGTCTTTTTATGCCTTTAATAGCTACTAACTTGAATTGTTATTCAAATGAATTAATCAATTATTTGTTATATTTTATTGTAATGTAGAGACAAGGCTTTTAGTGACAATCATGTATTGTTTTACAATTATATGTAAAAAAAAATTAAAGAAAAAAAAAAAAAGTCTAAATATGATATTTGACCGAAAATCATCTGAGGCCTGGCGCACCCCCCAGGTTGGGAACCACTGGTGTAGATAATGCAAAAGCCACCGACAAACGCATATTGGGTTTGAGATCTGGAACATGTGAAATCTGATTAGACAATGACATAATGACTCAGCAATAGGCCATGTAGAAAGATCATTAGCTCTCAGGCGAGGACATGGATGTGAGACAAGATGAGGCCTCCCTTCTGCAAAGTCCTCCAAGAAGTGTTGGCATGTATGAAGAGGCTGTCGTTTTGGTCAAATAAGCAGAGTTTTAGAGATTCAAGAGACATTGACACTTTAATATTGCAATTCATAAATCACTGAGAATAGTCACACATCATTTAAACGGCTATATTCATTCAAACTAATCCAATGGCAGGGAACCCCATATTGTTATCAGGATAACCAGTGACCGATCATAAGAAGCAAACAACTAAACAATGACAAAATGTGCACAGACTGTTCTCCATCTGCCTCGAAAGAACGTTTTCATAGAGATGTGAGTGTGAGAGCAATCTGGCGTGATGACTGTATGAAGAAAGCATCGTGGCACAGACAAGACAAGAGTGAGTGGCTCTCTGCTTAAAAGCTGCCACAGCCTGCTGGAGAAAGTTTGGAGCGTCATTAAGCCGTTAAACCTGCCGAGTCCTTAAGTCATCACGTCACCAACCGCAGCCTCTTCTGAGGGCTCGAGGAAAGAGTGGAAAGATACTGTCCTGAACTCAGATACCTTTAAGCTGTTAAAGTCACTGAAGTATTCTTTCGCTTCTTATAACCTAAACATCTCGTGTCGACATGGAACATCATATCACACTGAGATTGTTCTCTTGTTTATTGATTCTAATGTTGATTACATTTTTAATTCAGTAACAATTTAAAAGCAGGCGCACATTTAAATGATATTTTTCCTTCAAAGTCTCAATGTACACACACTGTTTTGGCCAGCAGATTATTACATTTTTGTAAATAAGCAACTCAGTACAAGTGAGGCACTAAGCATGACATCACCATTTGTTTTAAGAAAACTTTACAACCTGTAAAAAAAAGAGGTAATAAAAAAGGTGTAATATATTCTATTTTGAGAAACTAAGAAACTATTTATATTTATACTACTCATGATCACATAACATTTGTGAAATTACAACTTTTACCAAATTATGAATATCCCAAGCTGTAAGCGGGTATATTCACTTCACTTAAAGCCAAGTTATTATCTGCAACATTCCTTTAAATATCTTTGCTTGTATTAGTTCTGCACAGACATTTCTTCCTGCTAAGTTCACCTGCAGGCAGGTTCTGAAAACAACATGGTAAAATACCTGGGCGCAGAAAACTGTTATCGAGGCTGACTTTGTGTCACAGATGCTTGAGCTATAAATATGAGTGGAGCTGAGAAGGAATTAATACCTTTACAGTTTGCAGGCCAGTGTATGCCAGTGATCCTTAATTACGCTTGTAAAAAAAGGCATCTTAACAACACTCACACACAATTTACATGGAACTGCTTTTAAAAGCATACATTTCAACTTTTACATGGTAAGTGGAACACTCACAAAAAGCAGTGGGTATGCTGGAGTGCATGGATGAGAGAGTTTGTAAAGCTGAGTAGGCTAATCAATCTAAATTATTTATTGCACTGCTTTGGTTTGGTAAAAACTCTAGGTCCTCCGCCTTGAGGGAACCCCTGTGCCAACGGTGTGTTAGGGTTCAGTGTGCCATTTCCTTTTTTCTTGCAAGTCTACACAGACAAACACACTAGTACTATCTGTGAGGAAGTGTACTTTTATTTAGTGCCATGGCATTTTTGGCCTCCTAGCTAAAGAATGTGCATGTATTGATTATATGAGTGCGTGTTTTTTTTTTTTACCCTTCTCCCTTGTACTCAAACTCTAATAAAGCTGGCTAGGCATAACAAGAGGTTCCTGTGTGGGCAGCTCTGAAAGGATCACTCGTCCGCCTGCCAAAGAGGACAGCGGCCCTTTGATCTAGGCAGCCTTCTGTACATGTGCATGTGTATGTGTATGTGTGCATGTTTGAGTGTCTAGCAGGGCAAAGTGAGTTCTCTCAGCTGGCCACTGCAGAGTCTATACACTCAAACCATGACCTGAACCCTTCAAAGTTAAACTGGCCTCTGCATTGTCCAAAGGATCTAGCCAAATGCACCATGGCAACACTTTGAATTAACAGCCTCATCACATCATTCTCCTGCTGCATACTGAGAACCTCTCCTGTCATTCTTATTAAAAGATGTAGGATACTACTTACCGGTTACTCATGTACTTAATATCTAGGTCATATAGTAATAAAAGCAAACAGTGCTCCTATTGAGCAACTAAAGAATAAAACAGTTTAGATACTGGACTTCCTGTATCAAAGGCCACTTTGCATGCACAGGCGTGCAGACAAAAAGGCCCTTAGTGTGACTGAGGTCTACAGTTGTGGCAGCTGCGCCCGAGAGTCAGCCAGCAAGTCAGCTGAGACTGGGACTGTCTCCACTATCTAGGCAGGACTACCATTCAAAGCCAGAGCAACATGTGTGTCTGTGCGGTATCCCCTCGCACACCCCTCCCCAACACCCTTGCTCCACTTCCTCCTCAGCAGACGTGCCTGACATTCTAGACGAGCCAGCGTACATTCCTCACATGCCTCCATCGTGTAAGGAGAGGGCAGAAGATCAGACCAGATAAGTCACAAGTCAGCAATGCTTTCTCTTTACAGTGCATTCATCTGTGTGTGTGTGTGTGTGTGTGTGGGGGGGGCTGGTGAGTGAGCTCAGGTGACCACAGTTAAGCTGTCTCACATGGGATGTGGAGGCGTTGCCATGAGAAGGGCATCAGGTCGACAATTGCCCGCCTTTATTGGCTGTTGCTGCTGCCGTTTGAGCTCAGCTGACTGCACATGCTCATGTAGGATTCATTAGTTTTCCCTTAAATTGCACATCCATCTATAAGAGCTCTAGTCTGCCATATGATGCAATCTAAATGAAAATCATTCTACCTGAAGCAAGTTAGTATTCAAAAGCACGAAAGGGCACAATGCACATGTGACTGCGAAAGTGAAAAGGGGCATATGTGGCCATTTTCGTGTTCATATTAAGTATCTCTGGTTCAACAGCCTCTTTGGACAGGAAGCTAGAGAGTGTTATAGCCTCTCTTTTACATAATTCAGCCCCAACAACAAGTTTCTCACCAACTGTCCTCAGCAGACACTAGTTTCCCTCTCCCCATATCACATCCCCAAGCAGCAACAGCAATAGCAGTAATAGCTGGAGGCAGTGGCGTACTGAAGAAAAGGGCTTCCTGAGCTTTGGAGGAGCACGTTAACCCAGCTTGGCAGGCAGTTAGTTAGTGTGACAGTAGCCATGCTAGATGCCAATAGGACAGGCACTGCGCAGCATCTCAATGACCAGAATTCACTGGGTACACAGAGAGGGTTTATGGTCCTCCCAGCCATACCGCTCCCACCCCTACTCTCCATCCAACCACAAAGGCATTCAGCCTTTTCATTAGGATGATAATGGGGCAAAAGCCGGAAAGGGCCCCATGTCTGAGCACCATAAGTTGTGGTGATGGCTTTGTGATGATGTCATGCGTGTCGATGGGAGCACAGTGTTCTGCTATGGTCCGACAATGACAGTCCGGGACAGACGAAACAAAAAATACACTTGAAATGTAAAGTTAGCCCCTGAGGCAAGGTCAATCTGGTAGATCTTGGAATATGACCTCGCTCTGACCCATTCATGCCACAGCAAAGTTAAGTCATCACTGAGAAGTGCACTTAGGATAACACACTTTTAATAATAACCATTGAAATGCTGTTGCCGTTATTAGCAAAGATCTTGTACAGCACTCACTTTGCCTGAAAGCATTCAATGTGTGTAAAACAAAATCACAAATATGTATACCTGCTGTTTGCAGTCCATCAGGAATTTAAAACATTGAGGCTTTGGAATAATGCCACTAACTTTGTGCACCCAACACTCGGTCAGTGATCAAATAAAGAAGAACATGCTCTGTCCTCCTAGTAAAAGAAATGACGAGCAAGAAACTAAATACACTGCTGCTCTACTCTATAATACACCTGCATGTTTGCACCTGCCTCATTTTGTGATAGAGGCTGCCAACCTGTTACAATCAACAATAAGGATCTGCAGTCCAAACTACGTAGTGTGCAACAGAGGAGGCAAGTCCCAGAATGAGTAGAAACCTGATCATGAGAGAATGTGATCTGAACGCATCATTTCACTTACCTGCATAGAAACGTAACAAGGAGCCAATTTCAGTGTTAAGCCCTTCCTCTTGAACTCTCCACGGGTCCTTAAATCCAAGCTTAAAGAGAAAGTCATTCTGGATCTGCAGAGGCCTCTCATCTGGGCTAAGCCTCCTGACAGCCTCACCATGCAGCTGAACATACAGTGTGGGGCAGGGATCAGAGCAACCTCCATTGTGGTCTGCTGTCAGCCCTGATTTCACATCACCTTGGCCACAGTCTTGGATATCAGGTGTATTACCTGTAGAACAGGCTCTTGACAATGAGCCGGCACTACTGCTGGGTGGCAGGCTGCCCAGACGGTGGGGGTTTAGTCTGCTATCTGGTCCCACATTGTTAGCCATGTCGTTTAAATGTCCAATGTTGCACTGAGTGTAGTTGGCAGTGACAGCACTGATTCCATTCGTGTGATGCTGCGAGATGGGGTCCATGCTTGTGCTCGACGCAGGACAGTCGAGGTCCAGTTCGTCTGAGGAGCTGCCGTACATGTCGTGGCCCTCTGTTGCACTATCAAACGAGGGGCTGAGGATGGATGCCTCTGTGCCCAGCACCATGTCATCGCTGAGGGAGTCCCTGTGCTCGCTGAGCCGGGCCCCGGAGCTCAGGTCATCAAAAGCACTGCTCTCCACATCAGAGCCAGAATTTAATCCATAGCTGTCTAAACAGTTCCTGTGCTCCGAGTCATCATCATTGGGGGTATCCATGTTGGAGTTAGAATTTAAATCTGACAGTGAACAGGCTATGTTGTCTTGTGACTCTGACTCCGGGCTGAAAAGTTTCCCATCAACGTCCTGTTGCTTTTGCCTCTCGTTTGCATTCTCCATGAGCAGCAGTCTCAACCTGTCACTTGGATGGCCCCTTAACTGAGTGGATTCATGGGGAGTCAGGTGGTTGCATTTTATACTTAAGTCTTCGTTCACCTTGCATGGGTCATCGTTATAATCATACTTCACATTGCAGTTGCCATTTTGGTCAGTCTTAGGGTTATCTTTACAAAAAATGCGCATGACAGAGCTCGACTTACTGCAGAGTTTACTCAGACGTAGCGCGACCTCGCCGGCTGTGGTGTCCATAGTGCAAAGAACCGGCCTGGGATATGAGGGCGTCAGTCGGTCGTGGACGTGTATGGAGCCCCGGTGGAGATCTGCTCTCACCCACTCGCGATCGGAGGGCTGCAGCTGCATGTTCTGTCGGTGTTTCAGCAGAGTCTTCCGATCCAGACTCCGAGTGTGTAGAGACGCAGAGGAAAGGGCCGAGTTCATCTTGGCGCCGCAGGCGGCGGTGACAGCTGAGGTGGCGGTGGCTGCAGCTGCGGCGGAGAGGTTCCTCTTCAAGCGTCTCCGTCTCAACAGGAGGGAGCTGGAGTTGTTGGATGAGCCCCGGCCATTAGACGCTACAGTTCGCTTTGACGCACTAGACCCCGCTGAAGTGGCGGAATGAGAAACGCTATTCCCGTTCTTTGCCTCAATGCGGGAGGGTGCCAAATGTCCACCGCCATCATCCGCTGGAGTCCCCCGGGCGACAGACAGTCCGCTGGGCTTCTTCATTAACTTGGTCGCGCCTCTATCCGACGCACCATCCTCAGCGATAGTCTGCACACTTTCCATCTCTGCCAATGAAAAGTCCCCCTCTCTAAATAAATAACGGTGCGCACTTGGTTACACCTACGTCTACATTTAAAAGCCGTAAAAAGCGTGCCCACCGTGGTAAATATCCGCCGACTGGGCGGTGTTGCTGACTTATTCCACTAGTAGTCATTCACTTCTTGCCTTCCTTTCTCCGTCGGAGTCTCCTCCGCTGCTCCAAACAAACATTTTACCGATGAAATTCGCTTGGAAGAGGCTGGGCGCGCGGGGACAGATCAGGGCGGAGACGTGACTGTGCGTCCCATTTGGACCGAAATACAGTGCTGGAATATGAAATGAACGTCGGCCGACCTCCTACGCAAATACTGACTGATATATATTCATGAGGAGGACACAAGATGGGGTCGCTAACAACAACGCAGTGCATTGTGGGAAGTGTATTGAGCCAGAAAGCGCCCTGCTGTCGCAGCTGCAGGGAAGACATTATGTAATGACTTCATTTCCCATGAAGCTTTTCTTTAGTTTCAGTCAAGTGAGGCGGTGAACAGACGAGGGGCGTAAACATAGCTCGTATAAAGTGTTTGGTGTGCAGCTTCCGAAGTGCGTCCTCTTATCTGCTGTAGTGTTATCTTGGTGTGAAGGAAGCTAAACTAGCATACCGCTAGTAGCCTGATCAAGTTAAGCTACTGCATACGCTGCGGAAACGTATCAGCAGTCAACTGTTGCGTCGTTGACCTCATTTATCTGTGTTACGTCCGTTAGAAGTTACACACAATGGGTTGTTCATTAACTTTAATACAATTATGATGCATCGCAATGTGCAACATCGCTATAGGTTTATTTATCTGACACTAGTGGTGACGAGGCAAATAACTTCAGCACCATCTCATCAGGACGCCATTTCACAAGGCCATACAGCCCCTCGGTGTACATGCTTTTATTCTATTGTGTTTCTCGCCATCTAGTGGAGCAAACCGCAAAGCTTGACCTTTTTCCTGTTGAGGACGCAACGACCCTGGTCTTTTTCAGGTCAATCTTTTCTAATTTAGTTTTAGCCAAAGGGGTAATAGCCTACTATTATAAGACTTGCAAATCCAAAAATAATTCGTCAAATGCACTCTGGCTTTGGTGCAAATGCTGCAACTTATTCAGATACAGCTCAGAACAAAATTAAGAGACCACTGCTGCATTATCAGTTTCTCTGGTTTTACTATCTATTTGTTTGAGTAAAATGAAAATGTATTTTATTGTATTCCATAAACTACTGACAGTATTTCTCTGTGTTAGAAATTAAACAGACACTGCAATGGAATTGCTGCCCTATGTAGAGATTGCGATTTAAGAAACATGTGGACTGGTCTCTTAATTGTTTCCGGACCTGTAGGGGAGAAGGGGGTAAATTGAACCACCCCTTGTACCCAGGCAACGCCTTATAGTTGTAATCAAGTGACCATAAATTATGCAAGCTCCACCCATTTCTCATTGCCTGTGAAAGAGAGATACTCATTGTGGTCTGGTAAGTAAACATTTTTACAAAAAAACGTTTTTTGCTTGTCAAAGTAAATGTTCTAGATGTCAGCTATATAGGCTGTCATGTCAAAAAAAAAGTATCCAGGTTTAAACACATATTGTATATGTTGTGTTGGCAGCGTATTAAACCATGTGAATCATTAAGCTAAAGATGACTGAATTTTAATGCTAGGCTATTTTTTTCTAAAATGGTGGCTTTGGGGTAAAGTGAACCATGGGCAGGGGTGCCGCCAGGGATTTTGGGCCCCGTGAAAAGATATCAAATTGGGGCCCCCCCATCACCAGGCCCAGGCCACGCCAACCAAGCAAAATTGCTAACCACACCTCCAGAACCCAACCCACTCATTTATGCTTTAAATAACTCCACCTGTACAGGCTTGCATCTATCTTGTAGTCCAATACTAACCGCACAATATTTACTGACACTGAGCTGTGAAAATATAACACTGTGCAGNATGTATAAAATTGTATCACCATTTGTATGATTACTTTTCCTTTTAACATGTTAAAAAAAAATCAATCAATTCAATCGAAATTTATATTAAAAATATTTGAAAAACTAAGCTTGCATTTGGTTTGTTATTTATTTTGTATAGTTACCTTTAAGATGTGTTGTAGGTATGCCCAGGTTTGAACAGGTATGCCCAGGTTTGATACAGTGGTTCAATTTACCCCCTGACCTGGATCAACTTACCCCTAACCCGGGGGCAACTTACCGCTAACCCGGGGCAAGCTTTTAAAGTAATATTTTCATTGTCCTTGATCAAATATTAATTATTATCATTGCCATTGATAGGAGACATCCTGAATTATAGGTGTTTTTTCATTTTTACTATGTGTCATTTCTCCTTGCTTAGAGGACAGCATAACAAAAAAATGGCTCAACTTACCCCACTCTCCCCTATGTGAATGAGTATTTATCTTCAAGTCATAACCTGTTAGAACAAGGAGTGATGACACCTTGTCAACCATTTGATGCATGCAGGCTTTCAATATAGCCTACTTGTCCTACCTAAATGCGCATTTGTTCCAATTTCAAACCTAATTCCGCCTCAGTAGTTGCATGTGAATTTAGCATAAAGTTATTAAGGGAAAAAGGTGGAATTTGACTCGTCGAATGCCTGCAGAAAATGTATTGGACCCATTACATATTTTTCTTCCCAGTTCACATAATTGAAAGTGCTCATTTGAGATTGAAGAGGTTTTATATTTCTTGTAGCCTAATCATGGAGATGCAAAAAGTATACAGAAAGTGACACATTAAAGAATAGGTTTAGTTTTGCAAGGCTGTCTCAAACAATATTCACATCCTCGTATGCACTTATTTTGCTTGCTCATTACATTTAATTGAGTAGATGCGTTTTTGTTTTACAAGGCAACTAACATTAAGTGCACTTAACCATGAATATACCAATGCAGAACAGCAACAATCTTGCGAGTTCATTCGCTTTAAATAAGCGAAACCATTTTAAGTACCAGTGAATTGGCTTTTTCTAATACACTTCAAATTTACAATTGCATGGATTGATTATTTTTTTCAATACAAACTTAACAATCGTTAGGCTATCCTATCCTCTGAAAGATGGTAATATGGAACTTCAACTTTTTATAATGTTAAAAGCAGAAACAGAAAGTGTCCTGCTGAACTGGTTAGATTAAAACATACAAGGTCTATTTGTTAGCGTTACATTGAGTCATGTTTTTTTTTTTAGTAGTAGTTTTTAAAAATGTGCCGCTTATTTGCAGCGGGTAAAGTATCTGAGCTGGAATGTGTTTTACCAAGCTACCCGAACATCTGAATACAGCATTTCCTAAAGTACAGTAATAGAAAAGAAGAGTAATAAAAGCCTTTGTTTAAGAATGGGGAATAGATCTCTGAACTACAGGGCAAGACATTTGTGAAGCAAGCCTTATTGCAAATAGCTTTTGGGGAAATAAATATAACATGTTTTGCAATAAGCTTCGATACAGAAGAGTGTACAAGTGGTACAATTACTGTTTGGCATGGACTGGGCAGATTTTTCTAATCTAATAAAGTATCATGTGGACAGTGAAAATGCATTCAGAAATGGAATTTAATTGGCATGATGTATCCTTTACATGGTATTCTGTATTTCAAAAATGAAAAAAAGAACACTTTCAAAGTCATTCAGTTGCTCCACAACATGTAAAAGGAAACAGATTATTGCTGAAGTCATGTTCCTTGATTCCAGCAAAATGGAAAACCTCATAGCCTGGTGGCTAAGGTTGTTTTTTCTCAGAGCTGAAATGACAACTGGAGTGTATTTGTGTAAATTAATTCCCGTTAAGGCTCTATTGTTTTGAACCTATAAATGGAACATTTAAAAACAAAAAACAAAAAAAAACATGATGCTGGAATCATACAGAAGCTGGTTCTAACACGGATATACCTCATACTTCAAAGTTTCTAAGATAAGATGACCCAATGCAATTTAGATTAAAAAAATTGTTACATGAGAATTTACTTTGTCCTGATTCTGAGGATAAACTGCTCCAAACCAAAAAAAATCATCCATTGTTTACATCAAACCATAAAGTGCAAAACAATTTTCATTTTCCAAGTTTCCAGGTTTTATCGGGTCATCTATCCATCAATGATGGAGACCTTGAAAATAAGGGAAAACACATTTTACTTTGAAGACACATACATTATAGAAGGAGGCCAACAGCCTTTCACTTCCACTACTTATCTTCATCTGTCAAACTAGAATTTCATATTGCAACTTTAAAAGTAATACAGTAAAAAAAATCAGTATACATAAAGCTTATGAGCATTTCAATACTGGTGTAGGATCAGTGATCAGTTAACAAGAGCATTAAAGTGAAGAGACAATATGGTCACAGATCAGATAATCAACAATATACACACCTGGGCCCTGACCTTAAAACAGCGACCATTGTAAAGCCAAACTCTTAACAGTGCAAAGAAGTTTGCAATAAAAATGTAAAAATCCTGAATCGATGAGTTCACCTGTATCTGTACTCTTGTTTTAAAATCGAAAGTGCATCATCGTTTTCAATTATAGACTTCAGTCTGAATCAAATCGTGTCCTAATGTGTTGGAAAGCTGTTAAAGATTCAGATTTCTTGGAGACTAAGCGAAGAAAAATGCAGAAAAAGGTCGTCCTGAATAAAGCCTTCCTCAAGTAAAGTATAAAAGAAAAGTGAAACCCTGAAGTGAGGCGTAGTATAAGCACAGTAAAAAATGGTAGGGAGTACACCTGTAGTTTAACCATTTCTCTACAAACAACGGATATTGCTTTGTCAAAAGCTTATAATGACATGAGTAGAAAAGTAAAGTGTAGAACAATGCACATTATGAACAAAGAAAACTGCTTCAAACACAACAAATGTAAGTCATAATGTTGTGATCATCCAACTCTTGGTTATCTAGGACATGTAAAAACATGGAAATTAAATTATTTAGGTGCCTATCAAAAACAATTAAAAACTGAAAAAATAATATAAAAACGGATAATTGTGGCACTCACTGGAACCAGAATTGATCTGCCAGTTGAAGTTTTTACAATAAATGAATAAGATTGTAACATGAATACAACTTGGTCAAGCGTAATTCTTCTTTAAATGTAACTTTCTTTCTTCAGTATAAACAAAATGTACATTTGGAGAGAGTGGGGGCATTGCCCAAACTCTCAAATTCACAGTTAGCAATTAGATGACAACATTGTCGGTACATTGAGCATTGCACATATGAGGGAAGAACTGAAGTCATGACTACATAGTAATGACACTGAGGGGACTGTAGGGGGTGCTAAAGCCTAAGAAAAGCAGAAAAAAAAAAAAATATTGCACATGATTCTAATTTTGGACCTCCCTCCTCTTCGTCTAAG